AACAACAACAACAACAACAACAACAACAACAACAACAACAACAACAAGAACAACAAGAACAACAAGAAGAACAAAAACAAGAGCAAGAACAAGAACAAGAACAAGAACGACGACAACGACAACAACAACAATCCCGCAAAATCAATGTATTTTGCCTTGATGGCCCTATGGGAGGCGCTCCAAAAACGCTTTGCGCCCAGGAGAAGATCACGAATGGTTCTAAACCTTTTCTACCTGCCTGGCTGCTTGCTCCCCTTTACTGAGGCAACACACAACATGGGAGTAATATGGAGTAATACAACATATCTATTGGAAGAGGTGGAACATCGGGAGTCCTGCAGGGAGTCCTGCGGCCGAGGGTTCTGAAACCTCGTGGAAACCTCCAGGGTCGACAGTGTCTACTTGATGGACATTTAAAGAGCCATCAACAAGTAGAGCACTTCTCGGAACGCATCTGTTTGTAGGGCACGGAACAAAACGCCAAGGTGACCACATGCGCTACCAACCTTGGAGACCAGCCATCTGGCATTTGCCTTCTAAAACGAGAAAGGTGCGTCCGGGCTCCCACAACGGTGGACCCAGGTGCTCGCCCCCTAGCCTGGAGACTCCTCTGGATGAACAGGTCCAACTATGATGGTCCAACGATGGCGATCTCACCGGCCTCGTCCCATCTTCACCAAGCTTCATAGAGGGAACTTTGCACGCACATCGCCTCCTCCAGGGCATGACGGCCGCCCGTCAAGAAGCCGCCACCTGGAGCCGCCACGTGGAGCCGAGCCACACCGTTTTTTGCGGTGGTTCACTGCTCTTTTGGGTTGGTGGCTCGGCTCAAGCCATGGAAAACAGTCGTAGGGAGACCAGGGGAACGCCTGTATTTCATCATCCGGTTCTAGTTTGTGATTTGTTGGGATGGATTGAAGAAGTACCATTGAGGACCACATTTTATGGCGGAGGGACTGGCTGAGGCTGTTGATATGTTTCGATGTATGTATCTCCTTGTCAAGCAAACAACTTGGCAAATTGGATTCCACATCCGTAGTGAGTACCCAACCTATGCAACAAAAGCACAGCGAGGATTTTATGGCTTGCAAAACATATATACATGACATTTTGTGTTGATAGAATCAGAATTTAGAGCCAGGAAAACTCGTACGATGACTGAACCATTTCGATTGAAAGGGACTCCCATGCAAATTCTGACAGCCTGCAGGTGGAAGTGCTCTCCAAGACGATTGCGGGGCCTTAAACTTCTAGAACTAATCACATCTAATCACCAATCATGGAGGCCAAATTTGAGTCTCACTTGCCCAAGGGATTCCAAGGCTTGTGCTGAAGCATTTGAGTCTCACCACATCCACATCAACCACGCCCTCCCGGTCGTCACCTGCGTGATACGCAGACGCTGCGTTCACGGCCACTGTGTGGGCACCTAACGACCGACGCGAGAATCGATGTACCTCTGGAGTCAATCTAATTCACAAAACCTCACATCTCACATGTGTGGATCATTTGAACATAGGGATATATATATATATAGTGTTATATATTATATAATTAGTTCACATATGTTAACATAGAGCATCCTTTTGAGGAAATTCATCAAAGGATAACTGAACATGATTGGCATATATTGGCATGTAAAGGGCCATTGATTGGAGTAAAACAACAGGGCTTATGAACAGGTCAGGTTTGGTTTTTCCATGTCGGGCATCCGGGTTAGACCTCATATGAGCTCTGCAAAATACGTGTGATTAAACCCCTGTCGTAAACTTTGTTACGCTCCTGTTTATGCTTTTCTTACGCGACCACAATGTGAGTTTATGTGCCACGGATATTGAAGAAGACCTTACGCAGATCTTACGCATCTGCATTTTCACACAGCAGACCCATACTCCCAAGGGAAATGCTTGCGCGAAGGCTCCTTTTTGCAGGTGAGCGGGCGTCAGTTATGATGGGCTGTCTTGAGAAACGTTTGATACAGAGTGGCAAACACAAACAAACACAGTGCACACACCTGAAACACAGTGCACACAAATGTCAGTTCCCAAGGGTGTCAAAGCTCTCATGGTCCATACAGTTCCTTTCTTGACAGGTGTGTGCTAAGAATCTACGAATGAAAACACAACCATACGGCAAATTTACGCAACATGCATGTCTCACAACTCCCTTACGCAACCTTACGTTTTTCAGGTCTTTGCTCACGCCCAAGTTCCATATGACAAGGCCTTTACTTAGTTCATCTTGGGAGGTTTCTTGCGGTGCTCATATAGCATTTTTGAACACATGGAGACTTCATGGACCGCCCTCAACCGACCCCGGCCGCCGAGGTCACCTCGCACGTCTCGCACGCCTTGCAGGCCTCGCTGTGCCTCCTGCACCGCCACCTCCAAGACGGTGCCCTCCTCCACGAGGAGCTCGGTGGAAAAGATCTGCGTGCCGCCGAAAGGGATCTCGCTCCAACCGGGGCTGCCGGGAAAGAGCAAGCAAGTGCCTTGGAGCATCTCCTGCGAGAAGGACTTGACCGATGTGACCGCTGCGGCTCAGAGGATGGGCCGATGGGTATAAAAGGAACGGCTTCCCGAACAGGAGCTGCATAAGCTGGGCTTGCGTATCCAAAGACATCTCAATGATCTTTTAAGTCCATTCTGATTAGATCTGCTTGGACCTGGGATTAGCAACGTAACAAGTCCCAGCAGAAATGCTGGGGCGCTCGAGGACCTTTCATCAAACACCACAGCAAGCTGAAGTTTATCCGCCGACCCTGTTCTAGCACCAAGAACGTGAGCGTTCGGTATATGTATAGCCCTGGGGCTTGGCAATCAACCTTCGCTTTGCGGGAAATGGCCAGGTTTTGCCCAAATGTTCGACATTTCACCCCAGGGTTTTGGAACTCTGTGGTGGTTCAATTCCCCCTTGGCAAACATACAGAACTCAGAACTCAGAAGAAGTAAAGAGTCACAAAGAGACACCAAATGAATTACTGTAATTCAACCCAACATGGTGCCCTGGACATGGGAGCAAGACACCAAAACAGTCTTCAACCCAAACATTCAAACGTTCAACACACCAAGCGCAAAGTCCAAGACCCGTCCAAACGGGACAGGCCAAACCTGATTGAACACACTGGAAAAATCGGAGTCCATCACTCTAACAAGCCCGCCAGCGGAGGGGTGAGGGTGCCTGGAGGGCCAAAGTCGCGCAACGCCACAACACCAAACTTCAGAATGGTGACACTGGGCCGTGACATGTGATTCTTCTTTTGCACTTTCTGTCTGAGGTGTCAGGGTGGACATCAGGTCAGGTCAGGAACATATCAGTTGTTCATGCAGGGAATAGGAGTGGAATACGGTAAATAGATAGTTATTTTTTGATGCGGTGAAGAACATGTCCTACGCAACACAAGACTTACAACAATCCGCATTGGGCCCGTTTTCTACGGCGCATTGCATCGGAATCAGCAGAGAAAACATCGCATGTCATTCGCCTACAGGTAAATGTTCAAAAGAATTTGGAACCCAACTGAATCCCTCAATCACTGCCCCAATCCCGGCCGTTTTCTTTTTCTAGTTGGAAGTTGGGTACATGTTTTTGGGTCGTTCTGGTGATGGATTTGGCATGTTTTGGCCGACCTGCGTTCCTCAAAAGCCTCACGTTCCAATGTAGACCTCTTCTTAACAAAACATGATGTATATGATTGTAGTTGCGCGCGCGGCGCGCAACATGAATGTCGTGTAGAGACCTTTTGGCAAGGCAGCTACTGTAAATTACAGTGTTTTTGCAAAGTGTATGTAGTTTATTATCAATGTTCCTCGTACTCTGGTGATGCCAATGGTGCTCGACACAAATGCTACCTCAAAACTTCCTCTCTCATTTGCATACTTTCTTCTCTAGAGATCAAGTTTTACAGTTGCCATTTTTGTACACTTTCCCACGGTCCCCCTGTTTGTGACCTTTTTTCAAGCAAATACATACGTCCTGGTGATGTTCAATATGTCGGTATGCGGCCAACATTTCTAGCACCACCTGGCTTAGGGCAACCTTTTTTTCACTTGAACATTTGTTTTTTAAACCCATTTTTTTCACCCTCTGAACCTTCTTTTTTCACCCTCTGAACCTTCTTTTTTCACCCTCGAACCTTCTCTTTCACCCTCTACCCTTTCTTTTTTGACCCTCGACCCTTTCTTTTTCACCCTCCTTCCTTTGCTTGGTGCGTTGGTTGGTTGGCTAGCTTGTTGTAACGCAAACCAAATATCGACAGCCTTTGGGGAAAACACCGGGTTGTGTGGTTTTGGTTGCTTGGTTCGTTGGTTGCTTGGTGGGCTACCAATGCAAAGCAAGTATCGACAGCATTTGGGGAAAACACAGTTTGGTTGCTACCCTTTCTCTTTTTACACCACTTCCTTTGGTTGGTGTGTTGGTTGGTTCGGCCTGCTTGGCTGTTGGTTGCTTGGATTTGTAGAAAACACACAGTGATGGATGGATCATGGACAGGGAGAAAAGGTTACTTTTTGGCGCGTTGGTTTGTTGGTTTGCTTGCCGTGATTGCTTGCGTGATACAGTGCTTGATGGACATACATTGTTTGTATTTGTGTTTGATGGATGGATGGATGGATGGATGGGTGCTGTGTAAATAAAGGCGGGAGGGGGCGCGGGGGAGGGTGCAGCGCCTACCCCGCAATGCAAACCAAGTATCGACAGCATTTGGGGAAAACACAGGGTTGTGTGGTTTGGGTTGCTTGGTTTGTTGGTTGCTTGCTAGTTTGATGGGTGGCTGGATGGAGGGTCTGTAAATAATGGCGGGCAGGGATGGATGCATGCATGGATGCATAAATGGATGGAATGTAAATAAAGGCGGGAAAGGGCGGAGGGGAGGGCGCAGCGCCTCCCCCGCAATGCGAACCAAGTATCGACAGCATTTGGGAAAACGCAGGGTTGCGTGGTTTTGGTTGCTTGGTTTGTTGGTTGCTTGGTGGGCTACCAATGCAAAGCAAGTGTAGACAGAATTTGGGGAAAACGTTTGGTTGCTTGCTTTGTTTGCTGGTGGGCTACCCACCCTTCCCTTTCGCTCTCCTTCCTTTGGTTGGTGTTGGTTGGTTCAGCCTGCTTGGCTTGTTTGCTTGGATTTGGAGAAAACACATACAGTGATGGATGGATCATTGACAGGAAGAAAAATGTTACTTTTTGGTGTGTTGGTTTGCTTGAAGATGTTAAGAGTTTTTGCATTCCCTCATGCCCGCAGACTCCAACAAAAACTGAAATGGGAAACCAGGAAGATGACGAGGAACCACCAAACCAACCCGATCTCAGTTCCTTCTTCCAGCCACGTGCTGCTCCGGCCCCTCCTGGTCCTTCTCAAGAGCTTCCTCCAGTCCTCGAACATCGTCTGGGACGCCGACCTTCTCGAGCTGCCCCCATTGCTACTGCTAACTAGGATGGCCCTTCAATTTCTACCCCTGAGATTGTCACACGGTGTCAACGGGGCACTCGCAATCCTGGCGTGATACAGTGCTTGATGGACATGCAATTTTTCTGTTCGTGTGCTTGGTTGATGGATGGATGGAGGCTGTGCAAATAAAGGCGGGAGGGGGTGCGGGGGAGGGCGCAGCGCTTCGGGATGGGTGGGATGGGTGGTTGGTTGCTTGGTGGGTTTGTTGGTTTGGCCGCGTTTTTGCTTGGTTGGTTGGTCGGTTGGTTGGATGCATGGATGGATGGATGCTGTGTAAATGGAGGGCGCGGCGCCTCCACCGCCCCCGCACAGGATTTCTAGTATCTACGGCACTTGGGGAAAACACGGAGTTATGGTTTGGTTGCTTGGTTGGTTGGTTTGTTGGCTTGGCCGCGTTGTTGCTTGGTTGGTTGGTCGGTTGGTTGGCACTCCGGGATGGATGCATGGATGGATGGATGCTGTGTAAATGGGGAGGGCGCGGCGCCTCCCCCGCCCCCGCACGGGATTTCTAGTATCTACGGCACTTGTGGAAAACACGGAGTTATGGTTTGGTTGCTTGCTTGGTTGGTTTGTTGGCTTGGCCGCGTTGTTGCTTGGTTGGTTGGTCGGTTGGTTGGCACTCCGGGATGGATGGATGGATGGATCCTGTGCTGCCTCACGTTCCGGAGGCGTCCGGGTCAGTTTCCGGCAGTTCCCGTCGTTCCGGAGAGTCTCTGCGCAGTTTCCGGAGGGTTCTGAAGGGTTAGTAACAAGAAGTTATTGAGGTGAAAACAAAGGGTTTGGCAGGGTGCAGACAAGCGGGGTGAAACAAGCCGGAGGTGACATCGTTCTCTGTGCAGGTTCCAGGGGTTACCTGCTTCACCGGCGAAGGGTCGAGGGTGAAAAAGAAAGGATGAAGGGTGAAAAAGCAAGGTGAAGGGTGAAAGAAACATGCTACAGAGTGAAAATGACAGGGTGCAGGGTGAAAATTAAAACAGGTCTTGCAAGGGTGGAAAAAAAGGTTCAAAAGGGTGGGGAAAAAGGAATCTTGAGGTTGAAAAAAAGGTTTCGAGGGTTGGAAAAAAGGGAGGGTGAAAAAAAACATTGTTCTAAGGGTGAAAAAAAGGGAGCCCCCTGGCCTTATGGGGCTTCTTCAAGCCTCAGGGCTTTGTAGTGGAAAACGCTGAACAATCTATCTTTTTGATCATGTTCTAGCCTAAAGCTATCTGTGATCACAGGGTTCGCGGACGCAAAGGTGCACGCGCGAGTGCGTGTGCGGGTGTGCACGGTGTGCATGTGTGTACGTGTGTCTGAAGCTGAGGTTGCCAGGCTTTTTACATCAGACCCTCGTGCGCACACCTGTGTGGGAGTGTGCATGCGCAGGCGTCAGAAGCTGTGCTAATCGTCGATTTTGCTGTGCAAAGAGCCTGCGGATACGCGCAGTCCCCCCAAGGGCATCAATGGTTGGCCACTCAACAGGTAAGTCACTCAACATCTTGTAAATATGTCCGAACTTGAAAAACCCGAGGCAAACCTCCCCAAACGAACCCCACAAGGTTCCCCAAACGAACCCGGTGCCCCCCAAGGGCATCGCCCTTCGGTCGACGCAGTTCGGTCTCGAGTGAACCAAGGCCGAGAGTTGGGAGGAGTTGGCACAAGTCCCACGGAGTAAGATGCATCGATAGACCCTCTTCCCCTGGAAGATGCCAAGTCCAAGAGTAAGATGCCAAGAGAGATGGAAGATGTTCAAAGATTGAGAGATGCCAAGTCCAAGTTCCTTTGTTTTCACGCCGGTGCTACGCTGCTACGTGGTGCGAACATCGACCAAGCTTTCGACCAAGCGAAGGCGGGTGGAGCGCGTCCTCCACATGGCTCAGTCGGATCACCGTGGAGCCCAGTTGGTAGGCCTGGTGCTCCACCACCTGTTGGTAGCTAGCAGGGTGAAACATGCCGGTAGATGAGGAGGATCAATTAGAAACACATGCAAAAGACCAAGCCAGCAAAACGTCTGTACTTCATGTCGTGAACTCCTATTCCATTCACTTGTGAAATCCTGTTCCAATTCGATGTCCTTGA